TCATCATCTGCACAGCCATCATATCATTATCATCCTTAACAGCTTTGTCATCGTCGTCTTCATCATCACCGTCATCATCATCATCCTTTTCCGTCAGACATCTTGAATTGTTTTCATTGCAGAGCTCCGTTGCTTGTGCTGTGTCTTTCACTCTTTCTTATTCCAAATTTAATTTTGTGTAAAATAAGTTATAATAATAATAATTATTATTATTATTACAATAATTAATATTTGTTGTATTTATTGCGATAATAATTATTTTATTGCCATCATCAAATTTGTATGCGTTGATGCTTGCCATCACAACAGAATGTCAGTTATATTGATAGATTGAAGTTTCGAGAAAAGTTATTATTACATTGGAGTTCAATGAATTTCTGTTCTCTAACGAACATTAACCCAATTAAATATTATTTAATTTAAATTATAAATAAAACTTTAAATTCGTTACATATTGTTGGTTAGTTATTTTCAAAGTTATTGGAGGCGTAAATAAATAAATAAGTTCACAAATATACATATGAATATATACATATATATATATATATATATATATATATATATATATATATATATATATGTATATAATTACTTAATAAATACTCACTCACTCACTCACTTACTCATTCACTCACTTACTCACTCAATCACTCGCTCACTCACTCACTCACTCACTCGCTCATCCATTCACTCATCCAATCACTCATTTACTTACTTGCTAGCTTAAATAAGAAAATTATTCATTAATTAATACAATAAAATATAAACTCATAAAAAATATATAAACCATAAGTTATGTTGAATGTTATACAGGTTCATTTTGTTAGAGAACCTTCAAGAGATTTCGTCAATTTTTCTAGGAAGTAAAAAGCAACAACATTAGAAACAGCAGTAAAATATTATTGATGAACAGTAATATCAACGACAATAATAATACATTACCAAAGAATAAATAAAAAGTTTTAACCAAAAGTTGTTTAATAAAATATGACGTCGTTTTTACGTCACTGAACGAGGTTATTTTTTTAATTGTTCACAAAATCATCATCATTGTCATCAGTATCTTCCTCATCGTTATCATCATTGTCATCATCAATATCGTTATGTTTATAATTATCTTTCTTTAATGACCACCATCTTTATCATTGTATATTTTCAATTTTTATTATGAAATTACTTCTATAATATTATGTTACAAGTAGCATTCGTCGTCATCATTATCATCATCGTAATAATCACTATCATCATCGTCTTCTTCATCATCATCGTCTTCTTCATCATCATCGTCTTCTTCCTCTTCATCGTTCTCTACCAATGTTTATAGACGCATTTATTAATGTTACCATAACTTTCACGAAATCACAAACAAGCAATGTTGAAACGTTCTTCTTACTTGAGTCAGTCTTAGGACATGTTGCCATCATACTTATCTATTGCTACGATTGTCATCACCACTATTACAACAATAACAACGATCAATTATCATCATCATCATCATCATATTATTCATCTTCATAATCATTAACATCATCACCATCATCGTCATCATCACTATCACCAGAGTTATCGACGTCTGAACATAATTAACCATCGATTTTATGCATTTGTATTCTTTTGATGGCGTTTGCATGTGTGTGTTTGTGTGTGTGTGAGTTTGTGTGTGTGTGTGAGTGAGTGTATGTGTGCGTCTGCGTGTAAGCATACGATGGATAGGTAATATCTATTCGTACAATCATCCGCATGTAGGAATTTGTAATATTCTATAAAAATTATCCAGGGTAGTTTTTGCCGATTTCATTCAAATGTACTGCGAGTTTATGTACTTTCATTAATTTTTTTAACTGTATATTTGTGTGTGTGTGTGTGTGAATGTAATGCAAAAATAAACTTGTGTGTGTGTGTGAGTCTGTGTGTTTGTGCATGTGAGTGCGTGTGTATTATTATTTTCTTGTACAATTACACGGTGCGCGTGTGTGTCAGTGAGGGGAGTGTCAATTTCGACTTAGCAATTTTTTCTCTGTGTATTTTTGTATCTTTTCTAATTTTTTATTTATCCTTATCGGTTTTATACGTACGTGTATTCATGTGTATATGTATAAATGTTTGCGTGTTGTTTCTATGTGTATTTATTTGTATGTGAATTGGTTGGTATGAGTATTCATGATAATTTGTATATGTATTTTTATGTGTTTCCGTGTAATGAGTGCACCCCATCTATGTTCATCAATTAATCTTAATTCTTTTTTTTTCTTCCCGTTCTTCCAATTTGCTTCGTTCGATAGCATTTGCTGTTTTTAAACAAATCCTCACTATCGTGTTCGATTGTTTTTTGTAACTTATATGCTGTGCTACATGTTTTTATCATGTAGGGAATAATTATTCAGTGTAGTTTATTCATTCATTTAGAGATAATTTTATTAAAACTTTGTGAGAAACTTTGAATTAAAATTAATCCAACAGGATTCAGATAACAATTTAAGAGAATCTGGAAAGAAACATTCGTTAAATCCAGCTATCACCAATAACATCAACAACAACAGCACCAATAACAACAACAAATTTCAACAATAACATCAACATCAGCAGCATCAACAACATCAGCGAAGTTATTTTCAATACCGACCGAATCCACCCACAGCGGGTCAACCCCCACAACTTCTCCACCTTGAAAACCCACCACGACGCCACCAAAATCTCACAGTTGATCAAACATAAAAATTATAGAAAAATATAATTAATCTATGAATTATTATAATTAAAAGTTATAATAAGTTACGAGTTACAGTTTATAAACGGTAACAACAAAAATCGGAAAGACAAAAAAACATCCAAAGATTCCATTTATTTCTGAATCATTATTATTTTTGGAAAAATTAAATAATAATAATAATTCAATAACCAGGACTATAAAAATTTAAAAAACCGCTTAAAATCAACAAAAAATAAACAAACAAGATGGCGGGAGAATTGGAACAGTTGAGGCAGGAAGCCGAACAACTTAAAAACCAAATAAGGGTTGGTAGGTTTGTGCATTTTCATTAAAATATGAAGCGCTTAATTAAATGAATGAGGAATATTGTGACTAAATTTTTTACTGTTTGTTTATGAATATTTATTTCGTGCATGTCTCATTGAACTTAAAAATTTAAAATCAACGAAGGAGGATTTTATAACGAAATAAAATTTAAATTAAAATTATAATTAATAATGATACTAGAGTAAAAAGATTAAATATTCTGTGGAACCTACCTTTAAAAGTTTAAAACATGGAAAACGTAAAATAGGAATTAAATAACTAAATAAATAAAATTAATTGCCTAGTAAAACTTTAAACACAATAAAATACATTAAATTATTGAGTATGATGAAGTGTAGTTAAAACAAGTGAATTGTAGCAAAGTGAAACTTAAATGTCAACAAGTTTTATAAAATATTTAAACCGAAGAAAGGAGTGTGTACAGAAAGTTGTTCGATAAAGCGAATGTTGCATCTATACCATGTAATATTGTAACAAGGAGTGCATCAATTGAAAAGATATCGCGTGAATATACATACATACGCATAACAATTGTCAATCATGATATCTGCATACATATGTGAGTCCACAGTAAGGCTAACCATCGGAATCAAACAATGTGACCAACGAAGTCGCGACGGTGGTCTACGCGTCACCCCGCTACCTGATGCGAGCCAGTTTGATCAAATCTCGGCAGGTAGTTGTGTCGTTGTGTTGTGCTGCCACTAGGAGGGTTCACATTCGTTCGCACTGGGGAGACGTTGTGGTGTTGAGAAAACAGCTGGAAAGTAGTGTAGTCGAATCTGGTGATTTGTTTGTTGAGGGTTGGCTTGTTTTTGTGTATGTACAGAGCTTCTTTTATTTTTAGCCTGACTGATTGGATGGGGTTCATACGCGATGACCTTAGTACCTGCCAGCATGGTGGCGCGCGTAGGAAGTTGGCCATGTTCAGTCAGCACGTGGTCCTTAATTGCGCCATTCTGTAGTGCATTGTGCGTCTTCTTGAGAGAGTCGTTCGAGTGTGACCAATATAAGTATCCACAACACTGTGTGGCAGAGGGCATGTGAACTAGTAGACTACGATCGATCGCTCTCTGAAGACTCTCGTTGGTTTGGCTGTTGTTGTTTCTAATAATCAAATTGAATGTGCAATTAATGTTGTAGTATATTATTAATTTATGTTTATGATTTTGATTGATGGAGTGGTGACGGAGGACTTAATGATATTATTCAGCTATTTTTCATCTGCGTTATAATTGTCGTGCATTAGATTTGATGGTTTTGCATAATTCGGCTGGGTTGTTGATTTTACCGAGTTACATTTTTTTTGCAGTATCTATTAATTTGTTGGAGTAACTGTTGTTGATTAAAAGTCGTTGAATACGAATAAGTTCATTGTTAAGTATTTCGTTACATGATGTATATTTATCGGAAGAGTCTGAGTTGCAATTCTATTTTATAACTATGGAATTACTTACAGCATAGGGCAGCATAATAGATTTTTATATATTTAATAATAATTAAATAATTTAATAAATATTTAGCGTATCTTTAAAACCAATAATTTCACAAACTGTCGAAATTTTAATATGTGAATAAAATCGTTAAATGATTCTACTGGTCACATTTTTTCATTTTATTAATTTCTGTGAAAATGCAAAAATCTATCGTAACGAGTCCGGTGGACAAACAAACAAACAAAGAAATAAAACTTTTTAAAAATTTAATAGTTGGTTAATTACTATTAAAAAAAACTAATTAATAAAAATAATTAGCCAATACAATTAGTAAACAAAACAAACTTTCGCAAATAAACGTATTAACCAATTCCAAGTTTATCTTTTCAATTTTCCATTATAATAGCAATATAGAATTTTGAAATTAGAAAATTAACATTCAACAAATCTCCAAATCATCCCCCGTACCAACCATGTAGGAGGCGAGAAAAGCCATGGCAGACACCTCCCTGGCCCAGATGACGGCCAACATGGAGCCCGTTGGGCGGATCCAGATGAGGACTAGGAGGACCTTGAGGGGGCACCTGGCCAAAATATACGCCATGCATTGGGCTTCTGATTCCAGGTACGTCGGTGTTTGTCTTTTTGTCTGTCTGTACACTATATACATGTCTGTGTGTTTGAAGGTTTGTTTGTGTCTGTGTGTTTGAAGGTTTGTTTGTGTCTGTGTGTTTGAAGGTTTGTTTGTGTCTGTGTGTTTGAAGGTTTGTTTGTGTCTGTGTGTTTGAAGGTTTGTTTGTGTCTGTTTTTTTAACAATTATTGTCATTTTCTTTGTCTTTATCTATGAGTTTGTTTTGTGTGTTTAAAGTTTGTTTGCAATTGATTGTGCGGGCTTTGTATATTATCAGGTATGTTTAGCAAACTCATGTCTGTGTGTTTGATTTGAGCATGTGTCTTTACTACTCTGTTGCAACTTGCATTGGCGATTGTTCTCCTCATTATCATTCCTTCAGTCATCTTTTGACATCATCAACTTTATATTTGTTCGTCATTCTAATAAAATTATATCATCTTTGTAAAGGTTATCATTGTAGTCATCATGTTTGCTATGACATCATTGTCATTACAATTTCTATAATTGCTATACCATAATATTATCATTACTATCATCTTCATTATTGGCGATCAATTTTATCATTCTGGTTATCTTCCGTCATCTTCATCATCTCATCATCTTTGGCCATCTTCATCATTTTTGGTCATCTTCATCATCTTTGGCCATCTTCATCCTCGTCATCAAAACCGTCTCTTTACACTCTAGGAATCTCGTCTCAGCCTCTCAGGATGGCAAACTCATTGTATGGGACGGGTATACAACCAACAAAGTGAGACAACCAGCAATAACATCTGCATTATTGTCAACATTGTCATTATCATTGCCATCATTTGCATTATCAGCGTCATTCTCTCTGTAGCCCCCACCATTAATAATCATCTTCATCACTTTCATCATCTTCATCATCTTCATCATCATCCTCACCCGCACTGTCATTCTCATTCCAACCTACTGTTATTGCCAAAGTGGCTGGAAAAAGTTAACAAATTTAGTTTAAAAAAAAAATGAAAATTTTGTGATATGTTTATACACGTTGAAAACAGTTGAAAACATTAACGGGATGGTTAAAAGTCAACGAACTCATAAGAATGTCTAACAATTGTTTGGAAATGAAATAAAATTTACCAAAACTGAATCAAAATTTTTATAATTATGACCGCTTTTGAAGCAAAACAATGGTAGAGAACTTAAAAACTTTTTTCAATTTTTGAACAATTGAAAATATTTGTGGGAGAATTTGAAAAATAATGAGAAATGTTATCGTTGGAGATTAAAAAATTTAATTAAAAATGTTGAAAAAAAAGAATATGCAAGCAAAGTTGATGACGCCAGTTAGCCTGATGGTGAAAGTCGTTAAAAATGTTGGAGGTTGAACTCTGGAGGGAGGAGAAAAAATTGGATGCACAGTGAGTTCGGGGCAGGAGCAGTTTGGAAAAATAAAATTGGTTGGACGAAAGTTCAAGAGGTTAAACAAAATAGAACGTAGAGCAAGGATAGGAAAAAATTTGTATACATTATTAATAATAGTAATGGTAGTAGTAACAGCAGTAGTAATAACAATAATAATTATAATGGTAATAATAATAATAATAATAATAATAATAGCTGTGGAGAACTTCAGTCAACATGCACGAAATATCGCAGAAGTTCAAACCAAATAAAAAATTGAAAATTTAGAAAATTCAGCTGCCTAAATTAGCATCTAATTGGTTGCTCAACTCTTTATAAATGTAGTACCCTAACAATTTGAAATGAATTTAGGAGTTAGTTAGAACGATGAACGTAAAGCAGTTTAGATGAAGTATGTAGGAGGGTGAGGGATGAAACTACTCCTCTGGTCGCTTGACAAACACGCATCACTAACATCACAACCGTCGCATTATCCCCGAAATCATCATCCGTTGAACATTACCATCGTCATTATTATCATTTTGGGTGTTACTATTACCACAAGCATCATCATCACCATCGGGGTAATTAACATCATCATCATCATCATCATCATCATCAACAATAACAACAACATCATCATCATTATCAACAACATCATCATCATCACCACCACCCTCCAGATGCATGCCATTCCACTGCGTAGTAGTTGGGTGATGACATGTGCGTACGCCCCGTCTGGAAACTACGTGGCCTGCGGAGGGCTCGACAACATTTGCTCCATCTATAGGTTAGGTTGCTGCTGGCCCTCACCACCTTCCTCTTCAGATTTATCAACTTCCTCTCTCTCTCTCTCTCTCACTCTCTCTCTCTCTCTCTCTTTCTCTCACTCTTTTTCTCTATCCTCATCATTATCGTCTTTGCTATTTATTTATCAGGGTCATCATTATTTTCAGTCTCTTTTATCATCGTCATCCCGTTCTCCATCATCTTCGTTCTTTATTTTAATTGCAATATAAACTTTTTTCTTTCTCTCTCTTTCTTTCTTTATATACTACACTACTGCCACACCACTACCACACATCTCCACAGTTTAAAAACAAGAGAGGGCAACGTGCGAGTGAGTAGGGAGCTGTCGGGCCACAACGGCTACCTCTCGTGTTGCAGGTTCCTAGACGACAATCAGATTGTCACTAGCTCCGGCGATATGACTTGGTTGGAAAATTTGTGTGTGTGCGTGTGTGTGCGTGTGTGTGTGTGTGTTTGGTGTGTGCGTGTGTGTGTGTGTGTGCTGCTCGTATTAACATTATATTTTATGTCCGTTTGGTTTAATTTTCGCCAAGTTAAGATTTTAATGGAATGTTTTCATTGCATTCATCGTTTTGATCATCATCACCATCATCATCATTATCATCATTATCATTATCACCTAATGGTGATCATCACCATTATCACCATCATCATCATCCTCAACATCACTACTACCATCAGCATCTCAACCACCATGGTCGTCGTCACCATCATCACCATCATCATCATCATCATCATCATCATTATCATCATCATTATCATCATTATCATTGCCATCATCATCCTCATCGTTATCATCATCATCTCCGTCACTACATAGCGCTCTGTGGGACATAGAGACAGGGCAGCAGACGACGAGTTTCAGCGGGCACACGGGTGACGTCATGAGTCTGTCTGTGGCTCCAGACATGAGGTCCTTCGTGTCTGGGGCCTGCGATGCTTCCGCTAAGGTCAGTGCTATCATCATTATCAGCATTATTATTTAAGTTATTATTATTATTAATATTGCTGTTGTTGTTATTATTAATATTATTATTATTGTTATCATCATCATCATCATCATCATCACTATTGTTACTACAATCATCGTCATCATCATCATCATTTTTCATCATCACATCATATCGTCATCGTCATCATTACTACCACCACCATCATTATCACCGTCACCATCATTACCGCCACCAAAACCATCATCACCACTACCACCACCATCAGCTGTGGGACATCAGAGATGGCATGTGCAAGCAGACGTTCACAGGACACGAGTCAGACATCAACGCTATCACGGTAATGGTGATGATCTTGATGGTGATGATAGTGATGATGATGGTAATGATGATGATGATAGTGACAATGTTGTTGTTAATGATGATGATAGTTACAAAGATAATAATGATCTAATAACACTTATTCTGTCTGATTGACTTGACAATATGAGCTTGACCTTATTAATATGACCCGATTAATTTGACTTGACCCGATTAGTTTGACTTGACCCGATTAGTTTAACTTGACCAAATTAGTTTGACTTGACCCGATTAGTTTGATTTGACCCGATTTTTTTGACTTGACCCAATTATAATCGCAGTTTTTTCCGAGTGGATACGCCTTCACAACTGGTTCAGACGACGCCACGTGCAGGCTGTTCGACACCAGAGCGGATCAAGAAATAGGTCGGTACCTCCCCCTCTCCCTCTCCCTCTCTCTCCCTCTCTCCCTCCTTTCCCTTTTCCTCCTCGTCATCATCATCATCGTCATCACCAATCTTTTGCCATTATTGTAATCATTTTTTTGTCTTTTTGTTACTTCTTTGTCGTCATCGTCATCTTCATCACCATTTCGTCATCCTCACTTTTCGTAATCATCGTCATCATCACCATTTTGCCATCATCATCACCATTCCTCGTTATCATCATCATCGTCATCATTCTAACAAGTAACTTAAGTTCTACTGTCAATATTTTTTTTCTCAAAAACTTAAATATTCAAACAAAAACTCACACACACACGCACGTACGCACACACACACACACACGCACGCACACACACGCACGCACACACACACACAGGCATGTTCTCACACGACAACATCATCTGCGGCATCACATCGGTGGCGTTCTCGAAAAGTGGTCGCCTGCTGTTCGGTGGCTACGACGACTTCAACTGCAACGTTTGGGACAGCCTCAAGCAGGATAGGGCCGGTCAGTGAGGGGGGGGTGTGGCTGGCTGTGGTGGTGGTTCTACTGTCTACTGTCTACTGGTTCTACTAACCCTAACCCTAACCAACCATCCAACCAACCATCCAACCAACCATCCAACCAACCATCCAACCAACCATCCAACCAACCATCCAACCAACCATCCAACCAACCATCCAACCAACCATCCAACCAACCATCCAACCAACCATCCAACCAACCATCCTACCAACCAACCAACTAACAAATTAATCAATCACATTTTCAACCAGGAGTCCTTGCAGGGCACGACAACCGTGTAAGTTGTTTGGGAGTGACGGAAGATGGAACTGCAGTGGCCACGGGATCTTGGGACAGCTTCCTCAAAATATGGAACTGATTGATTGATTAACTAATTATAAATTAATTATAAATTATATCCTAATTCGTTGACGGATCTATTGAATTGGTATCTCTAAGATTGATTAGTTGATTAATTGATTGATTGATTGATTGATTGATCGATCGATCGATCGATCGATCGATCGGTTGATTGATTGATTTCAAGTTACTTACTAATAGCAATGGTCATTTATTAATTAATGTTAATTATTAATTAATAAATATTAGTTGTTAATTAAAATTAATTATTAAAACGAGTGGCAAATGATTATTATGAATAAACTTATTAAAAAATTTACGACGGACAAAATTTTAGTGTAAATTTGTTTTTTATTCATTCTTTTTATATCTGTTCTGTCGTTCTTAACTTCCATCCTTCATTCAAAATAATCACTCACTCGTTTTATTGTTCAATCAATCAATCAATCAATCAATCAATCAATCAATCAATCAATCAATCAATCAATCAATCAATCAATCAATCAATCGATCGATCGATCGATCGATCGATCATTCATTCATTCATTCAATCATTCAATCATTCATTCATCCATTCAATCAATAAGTCAACCATCCATTCACTCATTCGTTCATTCATTATTTCATTCATTCATTATTCATTCATTTATTCATTCATATATCATAAAACATGGTGACGATAGTGATAACCATATTTACGATGTTGAAGACGGCATCCTAAGTGTTTATTATTGTTATTATTATTTTTTTTTTGACTTTTCATGGAGGAGACTATAATCTCATTACTACTACTACTACTATTATTATTATTATTATTATTATTATTATTATTATTATTATTTATCATCATCACAACTGCCACCCAATGAATATTTCATCCCGTACTTCATGTTTTCTCTCAGTTTTTTACTTTTTATTCTTCTTTTTTAATATTTATTTCTTCATTCCATCATTTTTTGTTGTTGAATAATTTAGTTTTGGTTTTCAATTTTTCATTGATATATTTATTTTTGTTTATTTCATCTCTAGTTCATTGGTAGCATTACCATGTTCTTCGTTTGTTCGTTCGTTCGTTCGTTCGTTCGTTCGTTCGTTCGTTCGTTTGTTCATGAGTGTTGGAGTTGCAATGCTGAGTGAGTATCTCATTCATTTTTGTCACAATTGTTCGTTCACTCTATTATTTGTCGTTTCATTCATTCATTCGTTCAATCGTTCATTCATTCGTTCACTGGTTAATTAATTAATTAATCATATAATCACTAAGATGACAATCGATGACGATGACGATGATGATGACGAGGATGGTGATGATGATGATAATGATGATTATGATGATGGTTATGATGATAATTATGGTGATGATGATGACAATGATAATGACGAGAATGATGATGATGATGATTATGATGATGATTATGGTGATGGTAGTAGTGCTATGCTGATGTAAATTTTTCATTTAACTTGTGATGGCGTACAGCTTTTATTTTTATCATCATCATCATCACCATCATCATCACCATCATCATCATCACCATAATCATCATCATCAACGTTATCGTTTGCTTGTTTAGTTACGAAAGACCTAATCAGATGATGATGATGATGATGATGATGATGATGCTGCTAATGATGATGATGATGATGCTGCTGCTGCTGATGATGATGACGGTATTTTTTAACATACGATATTATTATAGTTAATATTATTTTTATTTTTATTATTGTTGTTGTTGTTTTTGTTGTTGTTATTATTATTATTATCATCAAAATTTTGAAACTTATAACTATATATTTAATATACTATGATAATAATTATTATATACGTATATATATATATATATACATATATATATATATATACATACACATATAAATTATCATCATCAGACATTTATTATTGTAATAACAATTTCGAAGTTCATAATTTAATAATTATTTCTAAAATTACAATAATTATAATTATTATCTCCAGACGCTGCAGACGCTGTAATCGCGGCGTTCGTTGTTGAATGAAGTCGCAAAAAGTATCATCGTTGCAGTGATCGCTATCATGATACTAATACAGGCGTTATCATATGATACTGTTATTAATATTATGCACAATATCATATGGTATCCAATTTTATTATACATGATATCATATGGTATCAAATTTTATTATACATGATATCATATGGTATCCAATTTTATTATACATGATATCATATGGTATCAAATTATAGTGTTATTAATATTATTAATAAAATATATATTTACGGCAATTATAATATTTACGGCAATTATAATTAAGTGACGTAAATAAAACTATTTTTTCCATAATTTCGAAAAATCTTTAGAAGAATTTTTTCTCCCAGCCGATCCATCAATGGATGAACAACTTGGATTTAAATTTTGTGTGTGTTTGAATGTGTGTGTGTTAATGTGTGTGTTTGTTTTTGTTAGTGTGTACGTGTGTTGGTTAGTGTATGTATGTTTGGTGTGTGTTGGTTAGTGTGTGTGTGTGTTGGTTAGTGTGTGTATGTTTGGTGTGTGTTGGTTAGTGTGTGTGTGTGTGTTGGTTAGTGTGTGTGTTTGTGTGTGCGTGTGTGAATTTTTTTTGAAAAATTTTTCAATGAATTTACATTATTTTATAATGAATGATCCACTTATAATATTATAATTATGTATTCGTTTAAATGTCACCATTGATGTATTATCAATATTATTGTTTAATTGCCATACATATATATATATATATATATATATATATATATATATGTATATGGGTATATATATATATATATATATATATGTATATGGGTATATATATATATATATTCTTAACTAATTGTAATTATTATTATTATCGCTTAAATTCATTTCGTTCTGCATTCGTAATTATAGAAGGAGGAAAAATAAATATCAAAAATAATGTGAGTATATTAATTGGATGGATGGATGGATGAATGGATGGATGGATGGATGGATGGATGGATGAATGGATGGATGGATGGATGGATGGTTAGATGGATGGATGGATGGATGGTTGGATGGATGGAATGATAAAGGAAAAGCGGATAAATGGATAGAAGAATAAATTACATTGAATTAAATAGATTAATAAAATAATATTAATAGCAATAAAATGATCGCCCTAACCAACTGAACACAAAACAATCTAAAAATTGTCAAACAACCCAAGAGATGAGGTTGTCTCCATCTAAATGAGATTAATTAAATAAAATGTCAAATGGATGTTGTCAAAAATGAATAACACCAACGATAAATTTTTGCCATACATCTAACTAATCCGGTGGGTCGTAATTTCAACTTCAAGGAGGGTACTTCGGAGGGGGAGGGTGGAAGTGCAATTGGGGGGTAAAAACAGCCAGTACCAACAGGAAGTACCTCTTTATACAATTATCAAATATAAAGGAAATAAAAAAGTCGACTTTTTTTCAAACATTTTTCATTGAGTTTGTTGGAAAACCTGATCTGAACCTTACTCATCATAATGTCGCCTCACTGAATACAGTTTTGTATGTATGTGCGAATGTGTATGAGTGTGTGTGTGTGTGTGTGTGTGTGTGTGTGTGTGTGGCGTGTTTCGTGTCCGTCTATGTGTGTGGTGTGTGTGCACACATCATGCACTCATGAACCTAACATGAGACTCCATCCACTTTTGTCCCGCTTAATAAATATTTCATTATTTTTTTTTGTCGTACCTACATTTGTCTTCAATAAGCATAAATTGCCTTTGCTGAAAACCCCAAATGAGATCATCTGAATCAAACTTTTGATAAAATTTACCATCAACAAGTTTCCGACCTGTTCCAGTTTTTATATACATTATATAAATTTTGGAGGGACATTTTTTTGGAAGTTCAATGGTAGATAGTAGCCCCTCCCACCTACCTCACTCTGACTCCACTAACCCCAACCCATCTGTAACAATGACTTCAATTTTCCCCAACCTTCAAGTAGGATCCATCTTTTGAGAAAATTTTTGAGCGTACTAACACTATTAATAAGTAATTGAAATATTTAAGTAATTAAGTTGTATTTAAAATACTTTTGTATTAAGAAAGTAGTTGAAATGCTTCAGTGAATATCAGCACTAACCCTAACCCCCAACTGGGCATGACCCGTCTCCCTCACCAATGACAACTTTTCAGTCAGATTCATCTGAATGGTTTTGGATGAAAATAAATATTTGTAATGTTTATATTTATTATTATCTTTATTTGTATTTATTTATTTCTCTATTGTTATATTTATTAATCAATATTTATTTTTCTATTCTTTATTAATACCTTTTATTTATTTTATTACAGCTTATAATAGACTTTTAAAACCGTAAAATTTTAGATGGAAAAGTTATGTGCTTCATGAAAATGATATAATTATTGGCAAAACCACCATCACCACCAACAACACAACAGCAACAACAACAGCAACACAACAACAACAGCAACACAACAACAACAGCAACACAACAACAACAGCAACACAACAACAACAACAACGACGACAACAATAATAATGCTAATAATAATAAACAACGACAACAATAATAATAGTAAGAAGAAGAAGAAGAAGAAGAAACTTTTTATGTGGCATCGCGTTACGCCAGCAAATAAGAATTTTTTTTTGTTTTTTTTTTTGGTTTGCATTATTCATTATTTCAATAACATAATTCTGGGTTAAGTTCATATGTTTGTGTGTGTGTGTTTGTGTGTGTGTTTGTTTGCTTCTCTTCTACTTTTCGTACTATTTATACTACTACTACCTCTACTAGGACTACCACTACAGCAAAAACTGCTACTACCACCACCATTACTACTATTACTTATAGTATTACTACTACTACTACTTCTACTACTACTACTACTACTACTTGTAGTACTACTACTTTTACTACTAGTAATACTACTACTGTTGTTGCTGCTACAACTTCTACTAGTCTACTACTACTACTGCTATAACTTATAATAAAGCCCCGTAAGTAGCTTCAAACACTGCTGTTGAACTGTTGAAAATAAAGTTGGGCGTCTGTTTGAAGCAATGCATCATCTTCCATCCAATCCATGTTTCAGGATTTTGTTTGCATTCAAACCCAGTCAGTGCAGCAGGAAACCTGTCATCTCCCAATACATCATCTTCATTATCATTGCTACAGTTATCTTCATTTTCATCATCGTCGTCAGCAACATCATGGTCATCATCATCATCTAGGCTTTTTATCATCGTCATCATAATGTTCATCATATTCATCATCATCATCAACACCATCCTCATCATCCTCATCGTCGCCATCATCGTTCCCATAATTCTGTTATTAGTTTTTTTTCTTGGTAGTTATTTATAGAACATGTTAAAAATAAACATTTCATTTGCCATTAATTTAGGATACCAGCGTATGTGTGTGTTTGTGTGTGTGTTTGTGTGTGAATGTATGCGTGTGTATGTATGTGCGTGCGTGCGTGTGTATTATCCGTGCGTTGTGTTTGTATGCAAATGGGTGTAGAGGTTTATGTGTATGTGTGTATGTTATTTGTATGAATATTTATCTATGCAATTATACATGTTTGTATGTTTCTGTGGTGTGTGTGTGTTGTGTGTATGTGTGTGTGTGTGTGTGTGTGTGTGTGTGTGTGTGTGTGTGTGTGTGTGTGTGAGTGTGTGTGTATAATAACTCGTTCGTTTATATTTTGAAAAACATTTTGAGTGATAAATAATCATGTCAAGTATGTGAGGATGAGATTAAACTGTATTAATATAGATTTATATGATATATTCACAAGCATACTCACACACAGGCACACGCACGCACACGCACGCACACGCATGCACGCACATTAGTTACTTATTTTGGGTTTCATTTATGTAAAATTTGTAAGAGTTAAGAGGTGAATCACCTGAGCAACACTCCATTTTATCATGCTTAGAAATTAAGAAACCAACTTCAAAGAATTAACCTGGCAACAAACTGCCTGCTGCACAAGTTACGAAGCAACTTTTCTATCTTATTTTCAATTAATCATTCATTTTTATATTTTAAATGTCTTGAAGATCAATTCTCAACATGACTTACGTAATTAGGGATTTTGGAAAAAGTATTTGACTGGATGAAGGATGTGGACAGAGCTTCAAACATGACTGTGAATGCAAGCCTCATCTTTTAATGAAAAGAATTTACTCTAATTACAATAATTATTATCAAATAATAAAATAAAAAAATATTATAAAAAATAATAGTAACATCCAACATCCAAGCAGGATTTCTAAATAAAAGGGATACAACAAACCAAGACAGACAAGAGTAGATTGATGACAGTTGTCACTGCTGCTATTCACCACCACACCACACACCACCACCACACTGCATCACTCTCAACCACACCACGCCACGCTAAACTACACTACACAAAGCGGTGAACATTCATGTTTATGAAACTTTTAACGCATAAAATATCTGATAAATTTTTGAGCTTGCCAAGAGAAGCATTTAAACCTGGCCACCGTACAACAGCCATTCAAGGTACGACATATCACCGACAAAAATTAAAGCACTACTTACTAATCGTGTTTTTATCAGTTTTTCAACTGTTTTACTTTAGGTCTTATATTTGTATTCTATATGTTGTTATCTCAGAAATTAGAAACAGAATTTATATTTGTAGGACTCTAAGTTGAAAAGTTGTTAAAATTCTAATTGAGAGTTTAATGCTGGTTTCGATATTTGGTTTCGACTTTGTGAGGTAATAAATGTCTGAACCGGAGGCAGACCCAAGTTTTTATGGGAGACCAAGGTTCATGGCGCTATAAAATGTATGTATGTATGTATGTATGTATGTATGTATGTATGTATGCATGTATGTATAAATGTGTGCGGGCGTGTACGTATGCGAATAACAATTATTAAACAATTATCTCCACAAACCAACACATAAAAACAATTCTACAAAAACCGAAATTTTTTACTTCTAAAAAAATTTGAGCAGACCAACACAAAATGGCACCGCAGAGAAAGATGAATGTTTATTTATGCGAAACAAGATGAAAAGTCAGATAAGCATGAAAAGTACTGTAATGCTATTGAAAGGAAGGTCTGATATGTGGTTTGAACAAAGGTCTCGCTTTTCTCACTGAGTGCTTAAAAAAATAGGCTTTGTGTGTAATGTAATAAGCGTTGAGGTATGTGCGAGTTGCGTGTGTGTGTTCGCTTGCAAATGTATGTGTGAATATGTTTGTGTATGTTTGTGTGTGTGATTGTCTTTGCTTGTTAACTTGTTTAATTGATTAAACATTTTGTATTCATTCATTTTTTACTTCCTTGCTTATTAAACATTCATTAAAATTTGTTGCTGTTTATTGTAGTGCATGTATGAAAATGTTTTTATTAATGCCAGCAGATAAAAATATTTATAGAGAGATGCCATTATGCAATTAAGTTAAAAAATTTGTTTGTTTGTTCGTTTGTTTGCTTGTTTGTTTGTTTGTTTGTATCTTCGTTTATTAATTCGTGCATATTTGGATGTCAGTGTATGTTTATTTTTTACAATAAGCACTTATATATTCAGAAATATATACCAACCTATATACTTACTTGATACTACACACATATATAACATAATTTACACACACACACAAACACACACACACACACACACACACACACACACACATGCATACATACATACATAGATACATACATACATACATACATACATACATACATACATACATACATACGTACATACATACATACTTACATACATACATACATACATACATACATTTACGAAGATGTTACGCTCTAGCTGTTTTTATCTTGTAACATAACTTTTTATAACATCAAAAGATCATTTGTCTTGCATACACGCACATAAGCACACAAACCTTTTTTAACGTTGCACGCACGCACACACACACACACACACACACACACACCACACACACACACACACACACACACACACACACACGTGTACCATGCACATAACATATGCTGTGTGTGTATAAACATATTAATAAGTAAGTTATGCCTGTAAGTATGTGTGTGCGTGTGTGTGTGTGGCGTGTGCGTGCCTGTGTGTGTGTGTGTATTCATGTGTATTCAGGATATGTATCAGTTAGTTATTTATATTTTCGTGGGTGCGTTTCAAGGTTGAAGGATGTTTGGTGGAGATGGTGGTAGAAGTGGCGGGAGAATGCAATTTGGAGGTGAGGAATGATGATGCTGATGATGATGTTATTATTATTATTTTTGTTAACTATTATAATTATTTATTATTAATTTTATTTTTATTATTATTATTATCATTGGTGTTGCTGTCGTTACGGTTCTTATTGCTCTTGTTGTTGTTGTTGTTGTTAATATATCACTGATTAATTGGATGATGATGATGAGGACGACGATGATGACGACGACAATAAAGATGATGATTGTTATGATGATGGTTAGATGAAAGTAATTAAAAAATTATCATTATTGCGATAACGATGACGATGAAATTGTTTTGATGATGATATGATAATTATGTTGTAGAATTTCAGAATTATAAATAAAAAACATCGTGAATGATGAAAGACTAACGCGATGAAATTTCATTAGAGAAAAAGTCGGCAAAGAAATAACAACAACAACAACAACAACAATAACAACATCGACAACAACAGCAACAACAACTACTACTACTACTACAACAACTACAACAACATAGGAATGACGTAAGGAGCACATTTCATACCTTGCTCTAATTGCCAACCAACAATGACGCACATTTGGCGGGTTATTATTATTGTTATTGTTGTTATTATTAATAGTGTTGTTATTATTGTTGTTGTTGTTGTTATTGTTGTTGTTGTCAGTGTTGTTGCTGTTTTTTTGTTGATATTTTTATTTTGTTACCATCATTTTCAGTGGTGTTGTTAGTATTAATGGTGTTGTCGGTGTTGTTATTATTATTATTACTGTTGCTAACAATGGTGTTGCTTTGTTTAACGGTAAAGTACAAGTTATTCTTATTCTGCTACTATTATTATTCTTAATAATATTAATAATAATATTATTATTATTTAGAATTATTATTATTTTTATTATTGCTACTACTACTACTACTACTGCTGCTACTACTGCTACTACTACTGCTGCTGCTACTACTACTACTACTACTACTATTATTATTATTACTACTACTAATACTACTACTAATACTACTACTACTACTACTACTACTACTACTACTACTACTACTATTATTGCTGTCATTTTCAGCTGTATACAAATTGACGGTGTTGATAATAATAATATTAATAGTAATAATAAAGAATAATAATACTAATAATTATTATTATTATTATTTTGTTGCTTTTATTATTGTTTGTCTTATTATCATTAAAGGTATCGTTAGATACTATATTAAACTATATATAAAAAAACCCAACGAAATAAAATGAATAATAACCGGTTGAAAGCAACATCGTCAGTAGTGATAAATCAAATGAACAGATGCTGGTCGGTTCTGTTACCAGCAGTATTAATAATTTCAGTTTGATAACAATGTTTTAAAATATATTTTTTATTTATTATTATTAGTAGTTATAGTAATAGTACTACTAGTACAAGTTGTTGTATTAGTAGTAATTGTAGTAGTAGTAAAAGTAGTAGAAGTAGTAGCAGTAGTAGTAGTAGTAGTAGCAGTAGTATTAGTGTTAGTAGTAGTAGTAGTAATATTTAGTTATCCCTCCCGACCCGAGTGAATTATTATCTGAAAACTTATCCGTGCCGGAGAGTTCCATTTTAGAAAAGTTGGAAAACTTTGAAACCCTATTGAACGTCATCCTTGATGACAAGGGCTGGCAAAAAGAAAGCAACTCTACCAAACGGTTTGGAGGTCTGAGCTTAGGTGGCTTGCTTAAGCTGAAATCTTCTGTTTTTGGACTTCAGCCGTTTCCTTGTCATTTTTAGAAACATCTTCATTGCCAAAAGACGGAATATATTTTAACAATTTATCATGCTACTACCAGAAAGATGGCAGAAGGTTTTGGATCAAAATGGCCAATATATAATTTAATAAAATATTTATTTATAACAACCTAATATATATCTAAATGTTAATAGAATAGTCAAACTTGTAAACAGTATCTTTAGTTTTGTTGTTCAAGAAATGTATTTAAAACATGTAGAATTACAGACAGACTGGTATTAACGTAATCTTGTTTTGATATAACTTCAAAGAAACTTATTTCAAGTTTTGATTTTGTGGTTGACTTCTAAATAGTTTATCGCCTCTTTGTATGTTCTGGTATAATTTAACGTTAATTTCTTCAGCAAGAAGACGTGTTGCTAGGGGTTTTATGTTTTCAATATTTCAACAATACACAACTGCCATTATGTTATTTTGTTACTAACTCTAACTCTATTTGTTCATTTTCAAACCTCAAATGAGAAGACTGATACATACTTTTATGGTCCGGCAAAAATACTGTACACATATTTCTTACATATTGAATGACATGTTAATTATTTTTTCATCACTATTTATTGCCATTTTAAATTTCGTATTTAGATAATTTTTAAATCAAATTAATTCATTTAACGGACATATGGCAAATTTTCAGAAAATTCAGAATTAGCAGAGGTCGTAATATTGCATTCATTGAGCGTACTGAAGAGAAGTGAAGATAAAAAACAAAAAAAGCTGTACGTCAATGAATCTGAGCCTTGATGCTAGTGGACAATCTTGAAGGAGCGAATGAATGAGTGAGCAAATGGATAATTGATTGAAACGAATGTAGAAATGAATGAGTGTATGAGAAAATATAAAATAAGTAAAAATCCGGTCAAAACAACAAGGACCATGTGAATGTAACTTTAAAGAATGCATGCGTTTAGTGCATTGTAAACGTGGTTACATTACAAATAAGCTTTCATTTTATTAAAATTACTCAACTATTGTATAAACTGATGTATATCCTATATGATTGTGTCGATCTTTGATGTTATGTAGTATATAAACAACGTTGTTAGTTGCGTATTAAACAATATTAAATGCCGAAACGTAGTGAAACAGTTGTTGTTGTTGTTGTTCTTGTTGTTGTTGTTGTTCTTGTTGTTCTTGTTCTTGTTACTGCTGGCTGTCGCTGTATTAATGTTATTTTTACTCGTTCATGTCATCTTATTTTTCTTGTTATATTGTTTGTATATTTTTACTCGTTCATGTCATCTTATTTTTCTTGTTATATTGTTTGTATATTGTTTGTATATTATTTTTTATTCATTTCAGGTTTTTTTTTATTGAGGTATGGAGAAACCAACTTTGAGAGTGACTAAAGTGCTACTTCCAATGACTTTTTTAACTTTTTTTATACCTTTTTGGTTAAAATATTTTAAAAAGTATTTAAGACATGCAATTTTTTGGCTGTATTTATCTTATATAATTTTGAAATTTTTTCAAAAATTTCTCTCTGACATAAACCAACGTTTTGACGTGCATTGTCGTCAGACGTTGCTGAAAATCTATGAAGTGCCCGGGGCTTCTTCCA